GTAGGAAAAGTGCAGGCTGGGGCAAGTGACAGTGCTCCAGGCATGTACAGATGTTTGTTAGATCAGTCAAACCCTTTCCTGATTTAACTTAGTTCACTTAAGGAGCTAAGATCGGGCAGCCAATTCTTTTCCTCCAGTCTAGCCTTTCCATAAATCTGTAGGCTAGCACTTGGATCCACCTAACTAGGTGTTAGGTGACTCTAAGTGTAATATTTGCATATACCCCTTGTCTATATGGGAAGTCTAGTATTTTTCAAAACAAAGTCTGAGGGTGATAAAACATGGCTTTGTATTCAAAGACGACTGCACCCTTATCTATAGAAAAAAAATAAATAATATGCATATATCCTCATTCATTTCATGAAAGCAGCAAGGAAAAAATCTTTTGAGGATGCCATATCATCATAGCAGGATACCATAGCAATCTTATGCCAAATTAAAGTCCATAGAATCAATAATGTACTAAGGAAAGACTACTGAAATTCTGTAAAGAAGTAAAATATTCTTAGAGGTAAAACTAACAGAACATAGACTCTTTTTGCAATATATGATGTATGCATCTAAATTGAGGGGCACCAGTGAAATAAAGCAGTTTCTTAGAGAACCACAGGGAATCCCTGCTTAATGCGGTTTCACTTAGCGCTATTTTGCTATAGTGCTCATTTAAAATTAGTACTCAATTTCACCTAGCACTGAGCCAGTTTCACTATAGCGCTCAGCAAAGCAGCAGCAGCAGCAAGAAGTGGCGAGTGGGCTAGTGGGAATGAGCACAGAGCCAGGGCTGGCAGGGGCCCAGGGCAGGGCAGCAGGAGCAGGGGCCCAGGCTGGCGCACAGTGCCAGAGCAGCTGGTGGACAGGGGGTGGGGAGAAGTGGCAGCAGCGAGAAGCAGCGATTGGGGGGGGGGAAGGAATGAGTGCAGGACCTCCAATGGTGCCCGGGGCCAGGGCTGGTGGGGACCCAGGGTGGAGTGGCAGAAGCGCAGGGCTGCCATGTGGGGCTGGCAGGGCCCAGGATGGAACGGCAGAAGCATGGGCCTGGCACATGGGGCTGGCAGGAGCCCAGGGAGGAGCGGCAGAAGCGCGGGGCTGTCGTGTGTGAGCTGGTATGTGAGGCCGACAGACATGCAGAGCTTTGGGAAGAGGCAGCGGTGATGAGAAGCTGCAACAAGAAGTGGCGGTAATGAATTATTTCTGTTTACATTAATTCCTATGGGGAAATGGGTTTCGCTTAGCATGGTTCCACTTAACACTCGTTTTTTCCAGAACCAATTAAGAGCATTAAGCGGGGGTTGCCGGTGTTGGCTGTTTTGACCTACAACCAATGCATATAATTTTAAATTTTGAATTGTGATTTTAAGGAATAGACCTTGGCAAATAAAACTGGTTTTAAACTAGGTAAACTAAGATAAGCATGGAAAATACAATGAAGCCTGGAGCCATTTTGACAGATCCCATCTGTTGAATACAAAAATAGACCCCACCTCTATTTTCTACTACTAATAGTAGTACCCGTTTTATATATCAAAACTCTTACATACTAAGTTTTTAAATTAGGGTCCTTCAAAATACTTCACAGAAAAGGGTAAGTAATAGAAAATATACAATACTTAAAGTGTAGATATTATTATTATGATGTGCTCTACTAATAAAGATTTCACTATTTAACTGCAACACTGGTTAATAATCCTAAATAAACTATGCAGGTTTTTTTCATTTAAAAAAAAAAATCACTAAGATGTATTTAGTAACTATGTGGTTTAACAAGGCTTTAATTCCTTAGTAAACAGGAACTGAGCCCTCAGGATTGTGGCTTTTGAAATTAGGGTGTGTTTAGATTTGGAAGCTGCCCAAACTTCATTCACTTCTAGGAGGGAAAGCACCATGCCAAACATATGCAATCAGGAAAAATGATTACATTCTGAAGAAAGATTGTAAAACAAATGCTCCCATATGTTTCACAGAGATCAAATAGAATGTCTGAGGACTAACACAATGATATTTAAGTATTTGGCAAGAAAAATCTGAACCGAGTATTAATTTAATGTGTGGAAAGTAAGGGAGAGTTGCACATAAGTTAACTATGCCTAAAATACAGTGTGGCTGGGAAATTAGGGAGGAGTCAAACTTATCAACCAATCGTTCTCCCTTTTACCTAAAACTATTATGATTTATTATAAGGCTACCTACAAATTAAGGGTCCATTTATTAGGAATATTAAAGACATACATAGTAGGGGACATTGTACCCATTAATGAGCTTACAATCTAAATAGGCAGGACAGAGAAAGGATGAGAGGGAAAAGAGAGAGACAGAGAGATGAAGCAGGGTGCTTCAGATTACAGAACAGGTCAGTGATGGAGCCATGATTAAAATCCAATTCTTCTTAGTCTTGGTCTACTGACTTATCAATTTGGTCATACTACCACTCAAAAATATGTCTATTCCCTGCTTCCTTTTTCATATCAGCAAACATAATGATAAAGTTAAACAGCTAACACAGCTTAACATTAATTTTATTGCTCAAATAGATCAGTGTGCCTGTTTAACTGGAGATAAGTGTAAAATATTTACTCACTGTTGAGACAACTTTCTAGGTATTCACTGTAATAAAATATAGAAAATATCAAAGTAATACTGTCATAACGTAGTTCTGTTATCTCTCGTTTGACCCGAGTACTCTTTCCTGCCATGGCAGGGGGTCGGACTTGATGATCTGCTCAGGTCCCTTCCGACCCTACAAACTATGAAACTACTAATTGAGAGGTTCAGAGGAAACCATGCATTTCACAGATAAAGGCAGAGCATGTTAGGGTTGACTGACAGCCAGTCTGGAGACAGCTCTTAGTTTCCATTCCTAGCCATTTCCTTGTGAAGAGAACCTTGACAACCTAACATAATATAAAACCATTATATCTACACAAAAACATATCACCTTTGAAAGCAGAAAACAGAAATAGCTGAAATTGTTTATGGAGGTAGTGGATGTGGCCAAGCAACATCAAGATCTTTCATTTTTACTTCAGGGAAGCCCCTGCCTGTAGCTAGGCCAGCAAAGATATGACAGAACTCGACCCTGCCCTACAGATGTGGGCCAAGAAGCGAGCAAAGAGAGATTCAGAAACAAGAAGAATTAAAGAAAGGAGGATCCAATGGTTTAACTAAACTTGAAAGCCAGGAGACCTCCATCCAAATGTATCTGCTAGCATTCCTGTGTGACCTTGGACTAACACTGAGCTCCTCTGTGCCTCATTCACCTTTGTAAAATGAAAATTTCACAACCTTATGGCAGTTATAAAAAATAAACATTGTGAAGCACTAAGGGTACACCTACATAGCACAATGTAGTGCCACATAGGCCCTGAGCTAATAAAGCACGTGCTATGTCGTATACGGGAGTCTACCTGACACACAGCAGTGACAGGCAACCTTTGTATCTAGTAGTTCTACAATAAGAAGCAGTGCACAATTGTATTACTCAGTCTTGCACTTGGGTTAATAAACCCTATTTCCAAGGGTACAACTGTTAGATTTAGGGTGACCTAACTAGGTCTAATAACTACCTGGGACCTAACTAGGTCTACTAATGAAGTGACACACATTTGCAATTAATACTAAGACAGTTTTTTATTTAATACTTTTCCAGCATCCAGAATATGTTGAGGCTGCTTGATTTCTATCTCTTTCTCTATGACTTGAAGGCAACACCTAGTGGCAGCAACACTGGTGCAAGTCTTCCTGGCCTAGTGCAGTCTGTACAAGCTATATATTGCCAAAAGAACTGGCAACCTGCAGTGGCAGCTGCTGCTGCATAGGGCCTTGGCCATAGGCACTTTTGTCTAGCACTTAGACCTGATGACTTTGGTGGCCTGACTTTTCTGTGAGGAGGAGGTGGAGAAGACTCTTCCACACCTTCCTCAACTGTCCCTCTTTGCTGCCCTCAGTACCTTCTTTGGCACTCTGGACTTAGATCTCTGAGACTGTGTAGTGCACATGTCTATCCTGTACCAAGCAGGCATAGGGAACATAATCTGCCTGGCCAATTTCTTGCTAGGCAAGGCCAAGATGGTGACTGAAAAGCCACAGTAACTGGCTTGCAGGGGCAGACTCCAATGACACCCTCCAAGTCTTCTACTTCCTGGTCCAGGAACATGTCACATTTGAATTTGGACACTTCACCTCACAACAAAACATGGACCAGTTTTGTGTCATGCTGAGCCATCAAGGGGACCCACTGCAACATGGAAAACAGGCAGCTGGTCCTACCTGTGTAACCCCATGAGGGGCATGGGACAGGAGCTTCAGTTTCTGGTGACATGGTTTATTTTGGCACTAACAATTGTTTCATGCTCTGGCCCTGGGAGGGCCACATACCTTTGCAATTTCACTATTTATTTCTAATAAATAAACTTTTTTTTTTTAAGTTGGAAAAAATCCCTCCCCCCTGGCCGCTCCTCTCTCTGATTTTCAGCGTACGAAATTCCAAATGTCTGTACCTTCTAGGGTGACTGAACCTTTCCACCTCTCCTATGCAGCAACAGAAGTCAGAAATACTCTTGTGAATTTTGCTATTTCTGGATTCAGCAAGTCAGTCATACCAGGACTGTGACAGTTTAGAGCCTGCCCTGATTTATTCTTAAATCCCTGATCTTGAACTCTGATTCCAAGCAATGGATCTCTCAGGATTGTGAAGCTTAGTAAATTAAATTCTGGTGATCTGAACTAATCCTTTTCTTTAAAGCAAAGGAAATTATTTCATGTAAAAAGTGAAAGAATCATGAAATACAGTACTCAAAGGCTTGATATATTCTAAAATAAAATGATGGCCATTAAAAAAAGTCAACTATTGATGCTAATTTTCACTTAGATTTGAGAAAATTAAACATCCATTACAAGCACACACTTCTGCAGCCTACTGAGGAATAATTACTGCTGCAAATCAAAAATGCCACACATTAACCTACAGTATACCCATGACTATACACTTCCCTCCTATTACTCACATTTTCATAGAGGGCTTGAAGGGTCTCCAGGTCAACCACAGAGTTGTCCAAATTCACAACAGCTGTTAAAAAGACAAAAGTGAAAAAAGAATTCGTTGTCAAAATGATAATCCAGCTGTGAAAGAAAGACTGAGAACAATACTCAGCAATAGTTTTTATGACCCACTGGTCATACAGCTTAAGGGTTTTAACTTTATTAATGCTTTGAATAGTGCTGTTTCTAAGACCATAGGCTAGGAACCTGGCAGAGCCAGGTGTCAAGCGTTAAAGAATTCATCCCCAACCCCCCAAACACACAAACATGATCCCATGAGTATGGCCAAAGCCAAAGATCAGAGATAAGCTGTACATCAGACTTTCATGGTCCGACTGAAAGCATTATAAAAATTTGTAAATCTGTACCACAACCACACATGCACAAAAAAAGCTCATTCCTGTCACTGGTTGGTTTCAGCCTTAAACTGATTAATCCACAAGTCAGCCAGTTAACTTCAAAACACCTGACAAGGGTCAAATCTTCTATTAACTAAGCCGACAGGTTTAGTACAGACACAAAATATGCCTTTCCTGTCCCTACCAGTGCTAGTGCCACACACATACTGTACTTTCTTAGTGTCAAAAATCAGTTTAAAAGCACACAGAATAATTTCTATCAACCTGACCTTTTTAACAAAAACAGACTCACCAATTTTCTGCGATCATGGGAAAAAATTGTAAAGTTCAGGTTATTTGATAAGGCATATTTGATACTGACGCAGGGCACTGGATTACCATTTGGAACTAAAATGAAGAGTTCAGTCATTTAAAATATGGCATTTGTACAAGTTTACAATATAGCAGTGGAAATTGAGATAAATTTTTATTTGCCTTAAAAAATAACCTGGAAAATAACATGAAATGTTATATAAAGGGGATCTTGTACTAATGCATACTTTTGCCTCAATATACTTATTTTTTGCCATTTTGTCTTTTCTTTTATTATATTCTTTTCTTGCAATGTCTTTTTGGTATGCAAATCTGTCTATTAGCCAGAAAAATCTTGGGAGAAAGCTAATTTAGGAAGAAATCATAATGCTGATCCATGATAAAATTCCAGCATTAGGTTACTTGATCCTCTATAAATCAGTATTCTTAGCTGTCACTCAGTGTTTCTGTGTATACACCTTAAGATTAGAGACAATATAATTCCAACTCATTTGTTTCTCGTTGCTTTAAAGCATTCAGTGATACCACTCAGTGTCTGGGACTCATCACATTTTCCCCCTACGGGTCTGGAACATAATTTTAGTTAGAGTACAATAAAAATATATAAATAAAGAAATGGTGATCTTGATTAAACTGAGCAAGGTCCACAACATATATGTACAGGGAAAAGGACAGAGTTTTAGCAGATGCAAAGAAAACTAATTTATTTGGGAGTGTACCAATTTTCTGAAACAATAAAATGTTAGCTTTACCATATTTCCTTATTGAATATATTTTATATATACTTTTTCTTCCCTTAGCTACTCGCTATGCCAAGACAAGTGAAAGTCCAAATTAGATTTTGCCTCATTTAAAAAGATGGAAGAACAAAACAAAATTATCAGGGATGAGGTGGTGAAAGTAGATAAAACAGAGAACTATATAAAAAAGTACATTTGAATGGTTTATTACTATTAGAAAATGAAGATGTTCTCTTCTCCCTTTTCATTTACAAAGTTTTAACATTCTCAGATAAATTGCAAGTCTGAATAAACTGGCAAAACAAGAGAATGTGTACTTAAAAGCTGACATACATCTAAAAAAATTAATGGATGCCAATTAAAAAAAAATACATGCATATATTCATACATACATACATACACATACATTTGTGGGGGGGGGGGGTGGGTGTTACTAAAATTTTTAGGTGAGTTAGTAAATGCTTAAATGTTACCACTGGAACTGTAAGAAACCATGTCAGCAAGATAGTTCAGCACGTACATACCTTTAACTGTGTAACTAATACCATTGACCTCAATATTATTCATGTCATTAAAGTACATTTTCAGCAAATGAACAAACTACCTTGCTGAACTGGGGCCTAAAAATCAATCAATTAAAAGGAAATCTGGTCTTGGATTCTGCACTGCCAAGATCGCTGCATAATGCTTGAGTTTAAACACCTAACTGCATACAATGAAACACCTATTGAAAATAAGTTACAATGGGGAACCAAATTTGACGATAGCCCTGAATGTTTATTTTATAATTTAACATAGCTATATTGTACAGGAACAGCCATTCATTTCATTTCTGTGGTTGTCTTCCCCATCTCCCTCCTAAGAGACTGTCTACTTCTGTGCTAAGAAATATGGTACAAGTTCCCATTCTGACTTTTTTCCACAATGTTAAGATCACCCATGGATTACTTAGAGAGCAATAGAACACTTTTGTTTGAATGCTTGCATGAGATAAGAGAATGCCTGGCAAACACAATGGTGCCAGGTCTGTGTACTTTCAACAACACTGGTATGCAGAAGAGTGTGCATACTTCAGGGAGCTGCTTAAAACAAATCAGTCTGAGAAAACTACAGACAAGGATTTAAAGAAATTGGATCCTATATTGAATCCAAGAAATTGGATCCAATTTAAAGAAATTGGTATATATAATAGGCTGCTTTTCACTTCCATGAAACAACACAAATTGGATATATTGACACATAGTCGTAAGTATCAGTCTCTCACACTATGAAATCCCAGCAGAATTTGATCACAGTGCAAAATATTTTATTAAGAAATATAAATGAGAACAGGAGAGAACACTTGCCTCACAGAAACATTGGTCTTTATAGATGGACACAAATACAACTGCATGGAAATAAGAATCACTGAGGTTAAACTTTCAATTTCATTACCCAGAGATTGTTAACCAATTAAAATTATAATGATTTTCCACCAAGCTAAATTACTTATGAGAATGACACCTAAATTTAGGAGGAAGCACCCTTAAATGTCTAACCAAAGAATTGAACAGATGATGGCAAAGTAGCTAATGAAAGAAAGCAGTAAAAATTAACCTTTGCTCTGCAGCCAATACAAAACTCAGTTCAATTCTAGGGAATCCGGAGTGGTACTTGGTTCCATACTAGCATCCCGGGTTTTGAGGAAAAGAAATACTGGAATCCCTGAATGTTGCCAACAGGATTTTTAAAGATGAGATCACGAAGGACAACATGCATTCAAAAAATCAACCAACCCCCCCCTCCCGCAACCTTTCTCAGCTATTGTAAACTGCTCCTCACAAAACTGTCTTATACACATATCATCCTTCCCCATTACGTTCAAATCACAGCAGCCCACCCTTTCATTCAATGGCTGCATATTTTCCATCGCATCAAAGCTAAGGTTTTAGTTGCTACTCTCAAGATTTTACACAAATCTGCCACGCTCTTCTTAAATATTCTTTTGATTTTATTAACTTGCCACCACCAAAGGAAAACATTTTTGGTTTGTTTTTGTTTTTAGAAAATGCCAGTTTGTTGCAACGGAAATGATTATGAGCTTTCACTGAATCCAGGACAGGTTTCTGATAAAACCCTACAGAGACTCGTGGCAGGGCAGTCCAAGAACCAGGAAACAAGGAATTCCCTATAGCAGATATTTTTGCAGTGAGAATGACAAGAGTGGACATTTTACTGAGGAACTACAAGCTTTAGGAAGATTCAAATGCATGGTAAATTCGGAAAATTTTTGGTTTGGGACCAATATGAACTTTTCTCAATGTTTATTTGCATGGTGCCCCTTATAAACACAGCTTACTATTCCTAAGCCTTCTCTTCCATTTCTCTCTTCTAGACTCATTTTGGCCATTACATCATATGCAATCAACCAATTCAGCATTAGGTTGAGTGACAGTCAAGGATAGATTACATTATAAAACAAAAAAAGGTAAAGCGATTCAAGAGTTAGGTTCCGCACACAAGAATATTGTGTAATCATTATGAGCTTACCATCTCCCCTTATCCACTCTTCTTTTGATCCCTTTTTGTCACAATCTAATTAGAAATTACATTCAACAATTTTAGTATTCTTGGGTCTGAGAACACATTTTTTGGTTTATTTCTAAAGTGCTTAATTACAATGAGGGCATTACTACTCCAAAGTATTTTATTAATATGTTGTTTTGCATTACAAGTAAGTAATACAAAAATAAATCATTTAACTTGCTACATAAATAGAAGATATTAACTAAGCCAATCAGATACCATTTTCAAAGCCAGGCATAATATTGTCTGAAAACACATAACTGAACAAAGACTACAATTGTTAATAGATGTTATTTCTTAAGGATGGCCAGATAACTGTAAAGGGACTTCAGTATATATCTGCCCTATACTCTACTTTAGAGAATATAGGAGCTAACAAAATGAGTTTAGTGCAAGAGAAAAATCAAAGTGGCATGCCCAGCATGAGAAAATATATGAAATCTAGCTTCAATTAGAGGTTCATCTTGATGACACCCACCCACCCTCACACCCCCCTATATGGGGATTTAGCATGTAACCAAGCCAACAATGCTCTTCCCAGAAAATCCACAGAGAAATACAAGAAAACGTTGAAGGTACACAGTGTATTCCCAGACAGAGTATGGAGAAAAGTAGCAATGAATCTTTTCACTATAAACCTGACAAACTTTTTCATCTTCACAGTTCATTATTCAAATTTTTGGGAAACTAAAGGAATTTGCCAGATACTGCTGAGGCAAAGATGATAGACACAGCAGACATAGCAAATTAACCTTTGTCTTTGCAGACAACATGAATAAACTTGCATAATTGGCAAAGAAATATTTACTACTTCTGGTCAAAACTCAACATTTCAGTTCTGCAGGAAATTCCAGCACCGTGAAGTCTAAATTTCAAAATGTCCTAGAAAACAAAATAAAGAGGGGGAAAAAATCTGGAAACCACCTTATCAAAGCACTTTGTTTTATTTTTATGTAATGCAGGGGCCTGACAAATCTCTCCTTGGGGGATATTTTATTGTGTTTTTGTTCATAAATTTGGGGTGGGGGGGAGGGACATTGGTCTTGGAGGTC